CCCCCCAGACCTGACAGACACCATCCCACACCTGCACACCTGACAGAGACCATCCCGCCCCCGCAGACCTGGCAGAGACCATCCCGCCCCCGCAGACCTGGCAGAGACCATCCCACCCCCGCAGACCTGGCAGAGACCATCCCGCCCCCGCAGACCTTGCAGAGTGTGGCCAGGCGCGGGCTTGAGGCGAAGGTGCCGTCCTGCAGGTAACGCTCACACTCCTCATGCCAGTGCTGCCACTTCAGCTCCAGCTCTGTCAACGTCTGCATGTTCCCAGGCTACGGAGACAGGCCGTGGGTGTCAGGGCCATGCAGCACAAGGCTTCCTGGGGACCCGTCTCCTGGGACCACTCACACTGAGAATGGGCATCGTCCTCATCAGGTCCCCCAGGACTCTGCACATGCCGGCCGAGGTGGGGCTGGCATTGGCCTCCTTGGAGAGCATCTGCCGGGCTTCATCCAGCCGGCCCTGCAGCACCAAGATGGTCACCTGGAAGACCCCAAACCACACACATTCATGGGAGGTTGAAGGCCCTGTCTGCAGAGCACAGGCCTGTCCCCTCAAGCACTCCAGCTCTGTGACTATGCAGGAGCTCCCCTGCCGGCTGACATCCAGTCCCACCCCCACCCCAACTGGACGTGTATGCATCGTTGCTTCTTTAACACATTGCTACAAATGACGGTAATACATCTAAAAACATGTGTTTTTAAGCACGGTCAATTAAAAGTGTGCGGTACATCTTAAACCCCAAGGAAAGCATCCGGAGCACAGCCCTCCTCGCCTGGGAATGCAGTACTCCACTCCTGGGGAGCAGGGAAGAGGCTAACAAACAGCTTTTCCTCAGCTCGGAAGCCGTGTGGGCTCCCAGGTCCCCCCACAAACTCTGGAGATGACAAGCATTAAGGTGGGAAAGGGCCCAACCCGCATCTGGCTCTTACCAACTTCCAGAAGTTCTCATGCTTGCTTGGATTCTCACTGGCCAGAAGATCTGGTAACAAACTGTCCACTTCACACACATGCAGACGGATCCAGTCAAGGAGGTGGAGGAGGAGGGGCCCAGCTGCAAGGAGACACGCTCATCACACACAAGGGCCTCAGCCGCATTCCACACTCACATCAGAGACGCAGGCAGACATGCTAGTGTGTAAGAGGCCCAAGTCAAGGGCTGAGCAAGGAAAAGCCGTTTCTTCTGGGGAGAATGAGAGAGGCAAAGTTGAAGTGAACACCCTCTGTCCAGGCAGCTCCAGTGCTCACCGACCACAGGAGCGCAGAGCCCCGTCCCCACAGCCCGGGTGCCCACAGCCTCCTCATTATCATGCAGTGATGACAGCTTTAGCGCAGCTAGGTGTGACGTATGTGTAATAAAACAGTGACATGCCTCCAGATCTACTGTAGGAAGCAGACATGTAACTTTTTATTTGTTGATAAACAATACCCATTGATCATCTGTCATTTCAGTGGGTCAAGAATCTGAGCCTGCCTCAGCATCGTTGACAAATAATTTTAAGTTGCTTAACGCTTTATAAATCAAATGCTATGGTTACACTGAAATGAGCACACGTCTATAAAGAATAGGGTGTAGCACTGCTAACCCTGAGGGGACCTTCTCTGGAAATGGTGGGGGAGAGCTGAGTAATCTCGCCCTGTGGGGTTTACTGCCTCCCAAAATCCCACCACAGGATCAGCCGTGAGTCCAGGAACTGCAGCCAGCCAAGCCCACCCTAGTCCAGGCCCGGTGCTGACCACAACAGAAAGATCCAGGGGACAGAGTAGGAGGGTCTTCCCACCCTTCTCACAAGAACAGAGTTCTCCAAGCCCATTTGGCCCCCACAACGGACAACTCTCAGACATTGTTCATTCTGACCATCGATCCACAGTCTAACACTAATACTAGACCAACATGTGCTTCCTCGATGCTCTTCAGGGGTGGAGAGCCCAGCATGTCAGTCTTCCAGGACACACAGTCTCTAAGGCCTACAGAATCTTCCACAATATTGTGTGCCTCGTAGTCCTTTCTGACGGCTATCATGATGAAAATCACTGGGAGGAGAGCCAACCCACCAGACACCATCCCACTACACAAAAGGGACAAAAAGGAAAGAGAACGAGCAGAGGTGGCCTCTGATGCTGACAGAATTGTCCCACGCTTACCAGGGGCGACTTCAATAAACAGAATCTCACAGAGATTCCAAATAAGCTCCATTGCCGACAGAATGGAAACCTAGAAAAATCAGAAAGTTCTCAATGAAAAAAATCCCTGAGGTTTATGCTCAAAGCAAAGGAACAGAGAGAGCACGTGATGACTGTGGTGGACCCCGACATGCCTGGTGGGCCCCAACCCGCCTTGTCAGCACTGACCACCTTGGGTCCAGGCAGAGCTTCCGTGGTGCTGCACAAGTAAAAAGTTTTCTTATTCTAATGACTGTGATTTTACTGTAAGATGTTATAATACCACAACTAGCATACTATATATGACTACCATGGTTCAGAAAGGGTCTGTATTTGAGTAAAACAGGAGAGAAAATTTTTAGAAAAATACTCAGTATATTTATCAAACACTATTATTAGGAACTTTGGATAAAAAGCATGAAGTTAGAGCTCAATGGACTGAAGCTCAGGGAAAAGTCTCCAAAGGTAAAGTCCAAACCATGATACCCAAAGCCACCAGACCTGCCCCCCCCCCCGAGCAGGCCACACGACTCCTCCCCCGCTCCCCTGTCCAGACAGTATCGCATCTTAGTCTTCAGGGAGAAATAAGTGCTTTGCTGACTTCAAAGATAGTGTATTTGTTCCTTCTCACAACTCTGACAGTTGTGCCTAGGTTTTCTACTTCCCACAAGAACTGAGAATGTACACAGAATTCACCAAGCACATAAGTGTGGAGCAGTGTGCCAGGCACCAGGATGTGGGAAAAGATCCCCATGACCCCAAAAAGCTATCTATGCACCCAGAAAAAGAAGAGGCTTCAACCAGCAGTGATGACTTTCAAGTGGATGCGAAGTTCCAGGGGGCATTCGGACCAGTGTCAGAAGGGGCCGGCCTCCACTTACCTGGCTGCTGTACTGGTGGCCACTGGCTGCATCTTTAGCGGCAACTGATGAAACACAAAATAGCTCATGTGAGCAACGAGACCTTCTGTCGTCTTACTACACCGCACAGCACTGAGCTCCCTGGCTCACAATTTTCCCTTTAAATTTTTTTTATTTTATTATTTTGTGTGTGTGTACCGTCAAATCAGATCTGACTGGTACAGGAGATTGTCCCTCCTTCCCCGGCAAAGCATCTGGTGGATTCGAACCATGTGCCTCTGGGATTGTAGTTGCAGCTCCTTGCCACTAGGCCACCAGAGCTCCGATTTTCCCCTTTTAACGACCATCTATTTTCACCACAGGCTAGTGTTTTCCCTCTTTTATTTTTTTCTCCTTGATATAAAAGTGATTGATTTTTACTATTAAACCTGTATTTTTTGTTTGTATTTTCCCCCACTGTTCCACATTTCCTTCCCCTGCTTCCCTTTGTTTAAACACTTCCTTCATCTTTGTTGTAGATCAATCATTCCTAAACTAAAGCCCTCAAATCACAAGCAGCACTGGGACCTGCAATCCAGCGGGCTGGAGGTGGGCTGGTCTAGCCTCCACATCCAGGCATCTCCCCAGCCCACCCCATGCTGGTGGTTACAACCTCCCAGGTCAGAGACTGAATAAACACTATTTGAAAATCCTTTAGTTGGCCCTTTAGCCTCATACCTTTCAACCAGAATCATTTAATGTGTTCTGACTTGACATATCCAAGACGGTTGTTGAAAATGAAGGATTAAGTACAACGGGAGGAATAGCTGAGTGGTGCAGCTAGCGAGCCCGGCTGCAACCTGAAGGCCTGCATCCACCTAGAGGCAGTTGGACGGAAGCCCTGGCACTGGAGCCGCCCGGAGCCCGGTGTGACTCACACACGGCTGCCTGCTTGTGAACTGACACCACAACTATTATTTTTAATGGGAAAGTAAGGATTTAGGACTGGAATGCCAATCAGACTGAAGGCGGACATGGTATTTACAACTACAAATTTCCCCCTCAAAGAATATAAAGTACTTATTTTTACATATAAAAATGAGAAGCTCATTTTATCAATTACCCATGTATGGATTTTAAACACAAATGTTTAACTGCACACATCGGATCCGTACTTGCTGCCCGGTGCATCTCCTCCATACATGCCCTCAGGGCGGACCGGTAGTTTTTACTCACTCGAACCAATCTGCGACAAATGACACGACAAACCAGATGAGCCTCAACATCCTGGAGGGCCAGAGACCGAGCAAGTGCACAAAAGCAGACAGGAGCTGCCAAAGCACGCAGGTGCCGACGTGAGGCGCACCCAGATGGCCAGGGCTGGACAATGTGAACGGAAGTGAAATATCCAAACCACAGAATAAAAAAAAATCCACGACCTAAGGAGTGACTTAAATAAATGGAGAGAAGGGACAGCTCCTCCTTGAAGCAAATTGTCAATGAATAAATGTGCAACAGAAAAACCACAGGCAGGTCCCATGGGAATTCCTAAGATCAGATGAGGAAATCAGGGAGGAGAAGCATGGGTGGCACGGTCTCAGAGTATCTATCCCAACACACTTCCTAACTGCAAAGGGAGAGGTGGGACCATTACAGGGGAGTGCAAGCAGCCCAGCAGAAAACCACCTCGACTAAGCAGTCAAGGTCAGCATCGCCAGTAACACAGCATCACTGGTAACATGCTGCACGGAAAAGGACACACCAAGTTTTCAAGTTTTTCAGCCCAAGGCTTTGGAAGTGAATCTTCAAAGACAAAACTGTCATTTTTGTGTTAACTTCCAAATCTTCCAACAGTGGAATTTAATTCAATGATTCTTAGATGCTTATCTGGCCTAAATGTTCTTCTTTGGAGGGTAAATAAAATGGGAATATGGACAAAGAAAATTTATCAAGCCTGCAAGAAGGTCAATGTGTTCCCTGTGAGACATGTCCAGTCCTACTCACTATGACATCTAGCACGAGCTCCCTATGAAAATGTCCCCCCTCAATCATTCCTGACATCTGTGATGTACTAGGTGCACATACTTCCTATGAGACACGTCCACCCTAATCACTTATAACATCTAGCAGCGATGCCATAGACTAGAACACCCTCTCTCTATGGGAAACTGACCTGCATGCAAGAAGACAAAGAGGCATTTCTTTTGGCTTCTCAGACTCGAGCTGTGAACTCCAGCATCTACCAGCAGGCTACTTACTGAGTTTTTCTGGATTTGCCACTCAATTCTTCCTCCATTCTCTGCAGGCCAAGGAAGATTCCGTGGGATTCATTGAAGAGTATTCTCAAGATTCGAGAGTAAATGTCCACATCCTTCCGGATGACATAAACAAGGGGGCAGCCTGGGGCAGCCTTGGAGTTTTCTAAAATACAGCAGAGAAAAATATAAACATTTATCACCAACACTCCCAAAAGCAATTAAAGCACTCTGATCAATACAATTTTCAATGGATCTCATAAGTAAGAGAGTACATAAGTTATCATTTACTAAACAACTACTTGGCTAACTGACTGGAAGAGATTTATATTTGTTCCCATTCCGAAGACGAGTGACCCAACAGAGTGTGGAAACTATAGAACGGTATCATGGATTTCACACGCAAGCAAGATTCTACTGAAGATTATCCAAAAACGACTGGAACAGCACATCAGCAGAGAACTGCCAGGAGTCCAGGCTGGGTTTAGAAGGTGTCGTGGTACTAGGGATATTATAGCTGATGTTAGATGGATCTTAGCTGACAGCCGGGAATACCAGAAGAATGTCTGTGTTTCAGTGATTATGCAAAGGCGTTTGACTGTGTGGTTCATGACAAGCTGTGGCGGACTCTGAGAAGCATGGGAATCCCAGAACACTTGATTGTGCTAATGCAAAACCTACACTTGGACCTGGAGGCAGTCGTCAGAACAGAGCAAGGAAACTCTGCATGGTTCAAAATTGGGAAGGGCATATACCAGGGATGTGTCCTGTCTCCATACCTTTTCAACTTGTATACAGAACAGATTATCCAGGGGGCTGGGCTCTATGAGGAGAAATGTGGGGTCCAGATTAGTGGAAGATCTATCAACATTCTGCATTATGCAGATGACACAACCCTGCTTGCTGAAACTGAGGAGGAGGACCTGAAGCACTTGCTGCTGCACAGGGTCAAGGACTACAGCCTCCTCCAATATGGATTGAGGCTCAATGTCAAGAAGACAAAGATTCTCACCACTGGACCATGTGGCAGCATCAGGATGGATGGTGAAGAGATTGAGATTGTTCACAGCTTTCGTTTGCTTGGCTTCACAGTCAACATTCTCAGCACCAGTAGCCAGGAAATTAAAAGGCGTACTGCAATGGGAAAGTCTGCTGTTAAGGACCTCTCCAAAGTACTGAAGAGCAATGGTGTCTCTCTGGGGACTAAGACGTGTCTGATACAGGCCATGGTCTTTGCAATCACTTGTTATGCATCAGAGAGTTGGACAATGACCAAGGAGGATAGAAGGAGAATTGATGCCTTTGAGCTGTGGTGCTGGAGAAGAGTATTGAGGGTACCATGGACTGCTAGGAAAACAAACAGATTCACCCTGGAGAGGGTTAAACCAGGCTGCTCCTTGGAGGCAAGGATTCTGAGGCTCCATCTAACATACTTTGGACATGCTGTAAGGAGAGACCGTCCTTGGAGAAGGACATCATGCTTGGGAGGGTGGAGGGACAGCACAGGAGCGGAAGGCCCTCTATGAGGCAGATTGATTCAGTGACTGGGGTAGTTGGGATGGGAGTGTCAGAGACAGTGCGACTGGCACAGGACAGAGCAGAGTTTAGGGCTGTTGTACATAGGGTCGCTATGAGTCGTAAGCGACTCGACAGCACATAACAACAACAATTATCCATACGTAAATATTAAACATAAATGCCTAAGACCTGATGTCTCAATTCACCAGCACACTTGATACAACTTTCTGCCTCCATCTACTGAAATTCACCTGGAACATACCTGCCTGTGTAAAGTCCATTTTTAAGTTAAACCTACAAAGTGTCATACAATTTCACAAAGTCATGTAAAAACTTTTTTGTTATTATTGTGTACCACCACTATCCCTCAAACAAAGAATAATTGATTACATCACGTTTCAAGAATGATGAAAAGGTTCCAGTGCTAAATTAGAAATTGCCTGTTTGCAGACATTTCTTATCTAATAGCTTCTGGGATAGGTCCAATGGTTTTTATCTTGGACACAATTTCAGTAAATTTAGACAAAATTAATTGGCCTGTTTCCAACAATTCATGAAATCTAGGAATGCTGATAAACTTTCTCATTAAACTGGAAAAGGTACCATATCCAGACACTCTCATAAGAGTATCTCCTAAAAGACTGACTCTTTACAGATCCCACAGTCCTGTCAAGCGTGGGGTCTCCAACACCCACCTGTTGATGGGGATTTAGCAACAAAAGGAATAATTTCTAGATCTAAAATACAGAAAAACTACGTTTCTTAAAAACGGTATAAACTCTTGAAAAGAAAAAACAAAACTATAAAAACTCTTAATTTGCTCCTTATAAAATAAACCAAGCTGTTGAAAGAGAAAAGTCTATCAAAGATTTGCAAGAAAAGCTCTTCAACGTTTAGTAGTAAGAAGCTACGCTGCAATCCCAAAGGCACAGTTCAAATCCACCATCTGCTCCATGAGAGAAAGATGGGCAATCTCCTCCCCTGACATTTACTGCCTCTGAAAACCCAATGGAGAGTCAGTTATGGGTCAGTTAAAACTTGACAACACACACCAACAAAAACAACTCTCATTATAAAATTTCCTGCGAGCTCTGGTGGCCTAGTGGCAAGAAGCTGCACTGCAATCCCAGAGGTGTGTGGTTCGAATCCACCAGATGTTCTGCTGGAGACGAAGGGACAATCTCCTCCTGGACCAGTTAGATCCAATTTGACAGTACACACATAAAAAATAATAAAATAAAAATTAAAATAAAAAAAATATTAAAATAAAACTTTCGTTTCTTCTCATTACCAGCAGGGATTTGTCAGGAGAAGAAAAAGCAACAAAGGCCGAACTGTTTGATTCTCCAGTTTTATTTCCGCTTTTCTGGCCACAGACCAACTCAGCCTATAAAACTCTTGCTCAGTGGAGTTCACAGTGCAGACGTACACAATGGCCATGGAACCTGGAAACTCACAGAGAGGGTTGCTGGGAGGAACTGAGTCACTCTGGACAAGAAAAGGGATAGGTTTGGGTACAGAAACACCAACAAAAAAGAAACAGGGAGGGAACCAAAAACTTAGAATCCAAGCTGTAGTACCAGAAAGACTATAATTAATCTTCTCACAATTCTAGCCTCATAAATCAACAAAAATATAAAAAAATTTCAAAATATGCAAACAGTACAAAATAAATTCAGATGTTTTATGCCATAGCTACTGAGACTAAAGGAAGGAAGGAGATAAAAAAACAAAACCCACCACCAAAAATACCCTCTGTGCTAAGATGGATAATCTGAAAGGAAAACAACAAAATTACCTTTTTTGTTGAACAAAGTTTCACACACCAGCATCTCCCCTGGGCCCCAGTTAAAACACATTTGCTTCTTCTTGGAATCCACTCCTGGAATCAACTGATGATAAAACATAAATGTTAGTCTTACTGAGGAAACCACCCTCGAGTCCATTCCAACTCACAGGAACTTTATAACAACCGAGCTGAACTGCCATCGAGTTTCTGAAGCTGAAAATACTCACACAAGCAGTTGACCACACCTTTCTCCAGCTGAGTGGCTGATGGGTTCAAACTGCTGAACTTTCTCTTAGCAATAAACCTTCTGCACTACCACGTCCTATTCTTACTGAAGGCTTTGCTATACAATTGATTTGCAAACAAAAAAACAAGGGGAAAAAAACCTGATTGGCAAATATGATCTTACAAGGTGACACATAATCTGTGTGGGGAGCTTAGTTGGCTTAGTGGTTAAGGAGCTGTGACGCCAACCCAAAGGCATGTTAATTCGAATGCACCAGCAGAATCCACTGGAGAAAGATGTACAATCTCCTCCTGTGCAATTTACACCCTCTGAAAACATGCTGAGCGTCAGCTCTGAGTCAGTTCCGACTCGATGGCACATAACGTTATGGGTTGTATTCGACTTGACAGCACCTAAAGAAGCAGCAGTATGTCCGACAAATGAGAGGCAAAGCTTCGCCATCCTTGCCTCCAAGGAGCACTCTGCTGTACCTTCTCCACAAGTGTTTGTTCTTTTGGTAGTCTGGGGGACACTTGGCACTCTTCTCCAACACCACAGTTCAAAGCATCAATTTTTCTTCTGTCATCCTTATTCACTGTCCAGCTCTCAGATGCAGAGCAAGTGACTAAAAAGACCATGGCCTGTATCAGGCCCACCTTGGAGCACAAAATGACAACACTGGTTTTCAATAGTTGGGAGAGGTCCCTGACTGCAGACCTTCCCAATGCACCACATCTCCTGATCTCCTGCCTGCAGGTACCAAGTGCAGTGACCGGATCCAAGTAAGATGAGGTCATTGACAGCTTTCTCCATCTTGGAGTCACAGAATAGTTGGATAGGAGTTAACCTGGACAAAGGGCACACGTAGATTTTTCTGTGTCTGAGCTTGCAAGGATCCTTAAAACACATGAAAAGAAAAGCATACAGGCATTTTTCTGGGAAAAGAATCTTTGACTTGGAAGGGGGAAAAAATAGTGATGACTACTAGTCTAGATGAATTACTCATGATTATTCTACTGTATTGAATCTGTGCTTAAGCATCTTTCAATCTGCTAATTACTAACATGCCTTTCCATGCCTTAATAACAGTTACCTGGGCATCAATTACTTAACAAGACACAAATGCTAGGAGTGAGGTCATAAAATGTTAAGGATTATTCATCAGCCTCTTTAGAGTCTGGATTAATTCTCACACAAAGACAAGGGTGAGTCTGAACTTGCAGAACTGCGGCTCACACTCAAGACTGGGCCACCCTGGGAGGCTCTGTCACAAAGCTGTTTTCCTCCCTGGTCTCAGTATCAATGCAGAGCTGGCTTATACAGGCCCGCCATCACCAGACCAGAACCAACAGCTGCCAAGTCCATTCTGATTCATGGAGACCTTGTATGCAGCGCAGGATGGGCTCTGTGAGGTTTTCAATAGATGTTTTTTTGGGGGGGAAGTAAGTCAATCGCAAGGCCAGTGTTTTAAAACTGTTTGTACCATTCAGGAACCAAACATCACCCGTTAGGTTTGGCTGTGTGTATGTATCAGTTTAGAGGATACTTGTTTCAAACCCTTTGTAGACAGACAGGTGGGGACACAAAATTTCAAAAAGCTGTCCCAGGGATTCTGACAATCTAATTCTTCTGCTTGCATGTTGTTGATGTTGACTGTCCTGGAACAAAAGACCTGACGCCTTACTAGAACTATCGTCATTTCTCAAAGTTCATAGTTTCCAGAGGCATGTTTAGGGAAATGGATGCTTCCAAACCTGTTTTAAACTAAGAGCTCCACCAAATACTGTCCACTATGGGTAACAGTTATGCCACTGACACCCCAATGGCACAAGGTTCAGCATCACAGCAACTCCAGTTTACCTCAATACAGCATATTGACAGAAGAATGCTTTACCATTTAGAAAACTGTTCCTCCAAACCATAACCCACTTTTAAATACAAAGGCCCTCCCCGAGATCTTGTTGACCCTAAATAGAGGCTTAAACACCAAACCAATATAGTATATTGTTGCTATGTGCCATTGAGTCACCTGAAATGTATAGTACAGCAGCTCTGAACCCTTCCCTGTCCTGAGCCAGTCTCACTAACTCTGACACACCAACTCCCATTGCCCCAGATACTGTTATCAATCCATCTCATCCGGGGTCTCCCTCTCCTCCGCTGTCCCTCCACCATTCCAAGCATGATGTCCTTCTCCAAGGACTGGTCTCCTGGCCACGTGCCCAAAATATGTGAGACAGAGCTTCAAAATCCTGGCCTCCAAGGAGAGACTTGGTTTCACCCTCTCCAAACAGACCTATTTGTTCTCTTGGCAGTCCATGGTATGTTCAAGACTCTTCTCCAGAATCAAAACTCAAAGACATCAATTCTTCCGTCATCCTTAGTTATTGTCCAACTCTCTGAAGCATAACAAGTAATTGCAAAGACCATGGCCTTTGTCTCTAGACTGACATCGTTGCTTTTCAGCACTCTGGAGAGGTCTCTGACAGCAGATTTTTCCCAATGAAATTCTTGGTCTTTTGATTTCCTGATTGCTGAGTGTTGACTGTGCATGTACATCATTGGCCAAAAAATGACATGCTATTTAGTGACTATTTAATATTTAAGGTACTTTATAAGTACTTAGGATAGAACTAACGCCCTATAGTAGTAAGCTATCTAGAAAGTTAAAACTTATTTTAGCTTTCCCTTAAAATCATCTTTATCTTGTTAAGTTTTCAAACTATTCCTCTTTGCAGTACTTGGTTTTGTCTCCAACTGCTCTGCAATCTTGCATGTTCAACTGAAAATGTAGGCATTTTTACATTCTAAAAAGAAAAGCAAAGAGAAACAGCCAAGTAAGGCACAGTTTAATGAGGCTTAGCTGGGCAATCTCCTCCCCCGGGATTTACAGCCTCTGCAAACCAGCTAGGTCAACTAGGAGTCAGGTCCTACTCAAAGGCAACATGTGAAAGAGAGGTTGCCAAGGCAGGTCCCTGGGCAGTGCAAATGGTTTGCATTAGCCTACTAACCTCAAGGTTGAAGGTCTGAACCCACCCTGTGAAAGAAGGTTTGACAATTGGCCACCATAAAGACTATGACAGAGAAAACTCAGTAAAGCAGTCTCCTCTGTTAACACACAGTGTCACCACGAATGGGAATCAATACCAGAGTACTGGATTTGGGGTTTTTTGATGTTTTTTTCTTTTAGGAACTGCCAAGATAAAATGTGCAACTACAAGTGAATGAAAACTGGCTTTACTGTAAAATTTTAAATCAAAATTAGGATTTAAAAGTTTATTTTTTAAAAAAAAAGATGCTCCCAAGAAGACGACTCCGAACGTTAGGAAAGGCTCTCCACAGAGGATGTTGGAGCTTAGACTGGAAAAAATGAGGAGGAGATAAAACCAGGGGGGGTTTTATCTCTGAAAAAGCAGAACGGGAGGTCCAATCGACTACCTGAAAGCCATGCTAAACGTCACAGATCTCTCATCCTGGACATAGCTTCTTGAGAGGGCTGTGAACTGAACAGAGCAGTTAAAATGGGAGTAGTCTCCAGAGAGCAAGAAAGTTTAAGAAACCTGGAGCCTGCGCTGCTCCACTATCAGAGGTCAATCTCAGGGCGCTAAAAAGCGGAGCATCTTAAATCTGTTAGAGGAACAAAGTCTCGCCCTACTTGGTCCAAGCTGACTCTAATTCCAAAAGGAAATGCGATAGAACGTGGCCTTCGCGGGCAGGTTTCTGAGGAACAAATAGAAACCGAGCCAGCACCACGACCCAAGCGCCGACACCTAGTTCAATGGGGCGGAGGGAAGAGGGATGGGGTCCACGAGGCTCCAGAACATGGACAGGCGGCAGCGACGGCGCAGACGCAGCCCTAGAACCTGGAAGGCAAGTGAGCCTTTCGGGGTGTTCTTACAGTGACTGGAGGGTCACAGTCGAGCTCCTCCATGGCGCCGCGATCAGCTGCGGGAAGCTAAACTGGAGGCCGATGCTCCCGATTCTGGGTTCCCGCCGGGCGCCGACTCAGAAGCAGGACACCGCCCAGGCGCCTCCGGCAATGCCTGTCAGGTTTGGCTGCCCGACAGTGAGGAGGGCCTCTGCTCTCAATCACGACCACCATCACGGCCCTTTACACTTAACGCTACCTTCATGGACTTGACAACACGTAAGAGAAAAAGCACCGGTGCAGCATATCCTCACAGGAATGTTCCTGCCGGGTCAGGCGCCGCCTCGGACAGCCCCGAGCCAGGCGTGGAGAAGGCCCCCGAGCAGCGGGAGCGGCAAAAGGCCCACAGGGGCGGGAGCGGAGAGGGTGCGCATGCGTAAGGGGGCGTGCCTCTGAGGTTGGCGTAGGGCGCAGGCGCAGAGCCTGCTAGTTCTGTCAAAACTGGCTTATTGTGCCCGTTCTTGGACTTCATATTAGAATCGTCACCCCTTCCGGGGGTGTCCAGAGTGAGGGTTTTAAGTCACATAAAACATCATGTTAGAAGAACAGTGCCTGAGAATGTAAGTTTCTTTTTTTTTCGGGAAGAAATTGATCCAAGGTCAAATACCCCAATGGAATGAACATTTCTTTCCCTGAAATCAGAATCATCTCGCCAGTGAAAAGATGTGTTGAAGTTAGGAAAAGTGTTGGTTCAATCCCATGCCCATCACGGCTTCCTCCAAATCCCTATCACAAAAGCTATTTGTAGGTTTAAATGTTGCATAGTTTTGCCCGAAAGTCCATCATATCGATTTTACCATCTTGTTTTGTAGTATCCAAATGAATCTGTTTCTCCGTTCTCCGAATCTGACACCAACAGCGTGCGGTGAGTATGAAGAATAATGAATTCATGTCCTTTGTTCAAGTGGTGAAAACACCTTTTATTTGAAAAAAGTAAACAGTAACATACTTTTTAGTTATTAGATAGATCTACTTTCACTAATCAAGATTATTGAAACGAAAAGGTAAAATCAAGCTTAACATTGATAGAAGTTATGCTTGATTTTCCCTCAGAGAAGATCTGAAACAGGATGAGAGTAAAAGAAGAGAACAGAATAACAGATAAAAAAGAAGTCACATTTCAACAAAACAACTTAAATTTTTTTCAAGAAAAAGAAAAGTCCTGTTTCTCAGAGTAAGACCTCGGGGAAAAGTTCTAACAAGTGAAAAGAACTTGGAAAGTACTAGTGCTATGTTCTTTCTTTATATTTTGTGGTTGTTGTGTATCTTAGAATCAGAAACAACCTATAGCTGACCTTCCAGCGGGTTTTCAGAGGCAGTTAATCCCATGGGAGAGATTGCCCATCCTTCTCCCACAGAGTAACTGGTGGATTTGAACCATGTGCCTTTAAGATTGCAGCTCAGCTTCTTGCCATTAGGCTACCAGAGCTCCCTAGTTTATATTTTAAGGCTAACAAAATATCATTAATTTAATACAAATATTAAAATTGATTAATAGGTAGATAACAGAAATATTCTTCACTGAAAAATTATTTGAAAAAAAATTATTTGAACTAAAAGTTGCTGTATTCCACTAACTTATTCAAATACACTCATTTACAGTAAGAAAAGATTACTGGTCTCATAGAACCTCCAAGACTACAGTCACCCTTCAAGTCTGTAATTAAAATCTCAACCACCAGTTCTTGGACATTGAACTAGCAGTCTGTCCTCTTACCTGCCTCTTCTAGGATCGGCCAGTTTCTGTAGCCCTGAGAGTGACAGCTTGTGATTGGACCAGCTAATTGTAGCTTCATCAGTCCTTAAAACCACCTGAAACAGGAAAAGTCACCAGCCTGACACCTGTTCCACAAATTTGGAACTTTTTAGCCTCTACAACCACGTGAACTGTTTATTGAAGATAAGTGTATATGTGTGTATGTGTGTGTGTGTGTGTGTGTGTGTGTGTGTGTATATATATATTTCTGTGTCTGTATGTGTGTGAGAGGACATTTATAAGGGAGCTCTGGTAGCATAAGCCATGGGGAGTTGTGTTGCTAAACCAAAGGTGACCCCTTTGGTTCAAATCTACCAGCAGCTCTACAGGAGAAAAATGGGCATATCCTCCTGTGTCACGTAGAGCCTCTGAACACCTACTGGAGGATTACCTGTGAGTCAGAATGAGAGGAAGTCTCATCAATGGTCTGCATCATGCAGATGACAAAACCTTGATTGCTAAAAGTGAGGCAGACTTGAAACACTTGTGGCAAAAGATCAAAGACTATAGCCTTCACTATGGATTACATCTCAACATCAAGAATTAAAAAACCTCACCACTGGACCAATAAAAAACATCAAAAGAAATGGAGAAAAGTTTGAAATTGTCAATAATTTCATCTTACTTGAACCCACAACCAATATCCTGGACACCAGTAGTCAGGAGATCAAGAGATGTATTGCATTGGAAAAGTCTACTCTCGTCCACACCTTTTCAATCTATATGCAGAACAGATCATCCAGGAGGCTGGGCTCTATGAGGAGGAATATAGCATCAAGATTAGGGAAGACTCACCGCATTATGCAGATGACACAACCTGATTTGCCAAAACTGAGGACGACCTAAGGCATTTGCTGCAGAAGCCAGAATCTCCATGGTGAAGGAACTCCGTGGATTTGGAAGATGTATGAGGATTTAAAGATTTCCATTTGCAACAATCAAGGAATTGCAAATAATAAAGAAATTCAAATTTTTATTTTAAAAAAGTCTACTCTCAGGGATATCTCCAAATTACTGAGGAGCAATGATGCCAATCTGAAGACTAAGGTGCACCTGGTTCCTTCAAATTGTCTTTTCAGTCACTTGGTGTGCATTCCAGAGCTGGACAATAAGGATGACAGAAGATGAACTTATGCCTTTGAGTTGGCTCAAGTATATTAGAGATGAGGAGGATGGCACAGAATAGGACAGGGTTCAGATCTGTTGTTCATAGGGTTAATATGAGTTGTATTCAATGGTACCGAACGACAACAAAAGTAAAAATGTCATATAAAGGACTAAGTTGCACTTTATCCATACCACAGTATTTTTATTTGCTCTATATGCATTCAGGCAATGTTCTTTTCAGTGACTTGTTATGCTGCTGAAAGCTAGACAATGAATAAGGATGACAGAAGAATTGATGCCTTTGAACTGTGGGGCTGGAGAAGAGTACTGAATATCCCATGGACTGCCAAAATAAAAATAGATATATGTTGGAGAAGATGCAGCCAGAGTGTTCCTTGGAGGCAAAGATAATAAAACATCATTTCATATATTTTGGGCACATTGCTAGGAAAGGCTATTCGTTGGAGAAGAACATCATCCTTTAGAAGGTGGAGGGATGGTGAATGAGAAAAAGACCCAAACCAGGTGGATTGACACAGTGACTGCAGCTATGGGATTGAGTGTGTCTGAGATGATAAGGATGGCACAGAATAGGACAGGGTTCAGATCTTGTTGTTCATAGGGTCGCTATTAGTCATACTCAATTCAACAGCAACCTAACAACAACAACATATTCATGCAACACAACAAAAAAATTGTCAAGAATTGGCGAGCTCTGGTGGCCTAGTGGTAGGAAACTGCACTGCAATCCCAGAGGTGTGTGGTTCAAATCCACCAGATGCTCTGCTGAAGAAGGAGGGACAATCTCCTCCTGTACCAGTCAGATCCAATTTGACGGTACACACATAAAAAAAAGAATAAATAAAAAAAAATAATAAAAAATTAAAAAAATAATAAAAAAATTGTCAAGAATTAAATTTCTTTGGATCCACAATCAATAATGATAATAGTAGCAGTCAAGAAATCAAATGACAAGTTGTGCTACATTGGGCAAGTGATAATGAGCAAGGATGTCATTTTAAAGCCTGGCCAAGCCTTGATTGCACAAGGTGGCCAGGGGTAAGGAGGTGTGCTGTCAATCCAAACGCAGGCAGTTTGAACCCCCTACCTGTTCTGCAGGAGAAAGAGAAGCAATTTCATATCCAATTTATAGCCTCTAAAAAACTGCTCAGATTCAACAGTGAGACAATTCCAACTCACGATGGCATATTGGAGACTTTGATACAGCCAGAATGAAAAATATAAAACAAACTGGTTGGACCCCGTTTTCTCTAGACACAGTGGAGAGAGTAAGAAAAGTAATCATCCCACTTCAGCTGGCGTTTGAGCTTAGGGCCTTCCAGGACCTTGACAACCAGAGTCCCCACGCACAACACAGATGCCCTCTGCTGGCAGAAGAGCCACATGTATCGTGAGCCCTCCACCAGAGATGCTGACTCCAGGAGGAAATGAAGTACCAGGTAAGTAAGTGGATGAATTCAAACCCAGGGGGTGCCAGCTGCTTTGTTGAGAGAATATTCTAGCTACTTCCTTGACAAGGAACTGAGGCCTCCAACCGACAGCCACATGAATGAACTTGTGCATATCAGAGTGATCCTCACCTTGAACTACTGAGACTAACTCAGTTTTGAATTTTATTTTTATTTTTTTGTATTATTTTTACATGTACCGTCAAATCAGATCTGACTGGTACAGGAGATTGCCCTCTCCTTCTCCAGCAGAGCATCTGGTGGGTTTGAACCGCGTACCTCTGGTATTTCAGTGCAGTGTCTTGCCACTAGGCCACCAGAGCTCCCTTCAGTTTTGAATTCTTAATCCACCAAAACGTGTTCTAAGTCACAAAGTATACTAACAAGGATTTTGAGTATCTTTTTTTTTAGTGCTGTTGAGTCAGAATCAACTCATAGCTGGCCCTCTTGTGGGTTTTTCAAAGGCTATAAATCATATATTAAAAATGGGGGAGAAATATAAAAAATCTTATACTTGCCACTTGCTCCCGGGGAGACGGGGGAAGCGCTTTATTTCTTGAAGTAATAGAGTTGATGTTTCCAAAAACTGAACCAAGATCTTATGGAAAGAGTGACTATGGAATTTCCAACCTCAAATTATATTTGAAGTTAAAATTAGGGCATTCACTGGGA